TGAAAATAGAAAGGATGTTTTTTTTTTAAATTAAGCAAGTAATTAGGAGCATTCTACCTACTCAAAAGTATTTCTTGTTCATTTTCTTTTCCTTTGATATTGTTATCTTACCACTGATTTGGTAAATAACCATATCTTTGGATGTAAACGGGACGGGCGTGGATCATTGTATAACCATGATTAGCAATATTGCAAGGTATCTTAGCATTATTTTTGAGGTACTAAGATCATTTGTAAGGCAACTTAGATAGCGTCATTGAGGGACTATGATCTTGTATTTGCTTGTTTTTGCTAAGATACCTTACATGCGTAATATGGTCATTTTGTATAAGGCAACCAAGTGGAATAAGCCTAGGGATGCTTGTGTGCAAGTGTGTTGTTTTCATGCTTGTTTTTGTCTTGAATTAGGGTTTTCTAAGTATTGATTTTAGTCTTTCCATACAAATCCTAATTACTAGCATTGTATATAAAAGCGATAAATTGCGAAATTTAAAGTTACTACACTATTACAACATTTGTGTGTGGGGGGAGGGGGTATACAATTTGTAAATGGGGGTTGCAAGAATTTAAACCTAATTAGTCTATTACAACCATATTGAATTGGTATGAATATACAAGGAATTTAAATAAATACAAAGTATAAAAATGAATAAATGTACAAGGATGCAAAATATAAAGAAAATGAATTTTGTTTGGTTTTCATGAAAAAAAAGATTTTTGTCTTAATCTAATTTAAATAAAGAAAATAGTTAATTAAGTTTGAATTTATTAAGAAAAAATATTTTAAAAGAAAACCCTAATTTTATTAATTAATCAAAAGAAAATAAGTTTAAGAAAAGTATTTTTTGGTATTTTATTTTATCTTGAAAATATTTGTAGTATTATAAAATATTTTTAGTCCTTTTTATATTAAAATAATGTATTTTAAATGGTGTGAAGAAAAATAAATAAATAATATAATATTAATTAAGTTTATAAGATTTACTTAATAAAATAAATAAAGTATAATAAATAAAATATTTTTATTTATGGAAAAATAAAATAAAATAAGTCAAAATATAAATATATCATTTTTTTTTGTATTTTATGATTTTTAGTATTTGGAAAATATATTTAAGAAAAGAAAAAAAGAAAAAAAGAAAAAAAGAAAAAAATAATAAAACTTGGGCCAGGGGTGTCAAGAGGAAATAGGGAGGTCAGTCAGCAAAATAATAATAAGCCAGGCCCAAAGGGCCCAACACCTGCCAAACAAAAAAAGGTTAGAATTGAAAAATATGAATAAAAAAATGAAAAGGGTACCACTGGGGCTCGAACCCAGGTCCCATAGGTTACAGGCGCTCGCTTCTACCACTGGGTGGCTATACATTCGTTAATACAAATGAAACAATAAATATGTAAGACAAAACGCGCCCTGAAGACTTCATCTTCAACCTCCATCCAGACCTACTGTAACTTGCTCATTTCTCATTAAAAATGAAAACTATAAACATGAAACTTGTAGCAAATTTTCTCACGATACCAGAAATGTAAAGTATTAGAAATATGGATCAAAGATAAGCAAGAATTTTAATGGCCCTAATCTGAACCCTAAAAATTTCATAAATTTCAGTTTCAAAATTCTCTAAGCTCAAGCAAAATTAATGGAAACTAAGGACATGGTTAGCTTCAGGGCAATGATATCTACATGTTTTATTCACAAATAAACTATTGATGATGCCTGTATGAAGAGTTCCAAGTTGAGAAAACTTACCTCAAAATTGGAAATCGTGTTTTGAGTTTGATCTTTTTTCAAGTGATGGTGATGATCAGGTTAGCTTCCTTGAGGTCCTAGGAAGCTAATGCAATGGTTAGCTTGAACAATGGATGGCTAAAATGGCCTAGAGAAGTCAAGTTGCAGACTCTATTTTTTGGTTATGGAAGTTATGGTAAATGGTGTTACAGTTATGTAATAAGGATAAGGATGAGTTGTATTTGATGTAAGGAAGCTTTAGAAACCAAAGGCTAAAAAACGCACGAGGGAAATGGGAGTTTGACGTTCAAGGTCAAAAACTATGAAACAATGGAGTTTTTGTGCAATTTCTGATTTGAGAGAGTTTTAGTGTATTTCAGGGTGTTCAAGCTCGTGTTCTATCTCACAAATAGTGACTCTATTTATAAGCAACAAGTTCGGAGTGCTCTAGTTGATAAGAATTCAAACTTACATCTTTAAGTTAAACATGTGATTTTTTAACAAAACAAGTTTCCATGCCTTGTGTACTTGCTAAGATAGAGTAGTTATGCTTTAAAAAAGATTGCTTCTGACTTTGTGGATGGAGTGTAACCAGAGGGAACAAGTTAGAGGCTCAATGTGAACTTTATGCAAAAAGCTTACTTTACAAGAATGGCAATGTTACTTTGTGCCATTAATGGAAATGCAACTTGGATAATAGCTCAAATGCTTGGATCAAAGCTCTAACAGCTATGTAAACATTTAATTATGGAGTGACAAACAAATTTGAGGTCTGTAAAGCAAGCATTATGCAGCCTAGCATGGATTTAGTTCATGTGTTCATCAAAAATGACTTGTAATTCAAGTGACAAAACCCTAACTTCATCTCTTCGATTCGCCCTACTCAAGAATGATCTCAAGGATTTCTTGGATATTTTGGACAACTTGCAATGTGCTCTACAACCCATCTTTGAATTTCTTTTGAATATTCCCCTTGGAACTATATGAAAAAATGCCATGAAGTTAGGTCAAAATCCTGACCAAATTAGGGCAAAATTTCACTAAGTGTTTAGTTTCATGACCCTATGTTCATAAAATTATAACTTGAGATCCAAGCATTTTTGGAAGAAGTTGTGTGAATAAAATTTGTATATTTCATGGATATTTATAACTTTAATGTTGGAAGTTTCTCTTGAATCATCTTGAATCATGGTGAAAATTTGGCTCAAAGTTATGAAAAAACATGAAATTTCCAACACTTAAAAAAATTTCTAAGTTTAGAAATTTTGACTTTTCAAAATGAAATCTTGACTTTTTGATTTCTTGATGAATAAGTTTCATATTTTGACATGTTTTGATGAATTGTGATCTTTGGTACTTGAATTTGACCAAAAAGTCAAAGTTTGACTTTTCAGTATACAATTGACTTTTGATCAGTTGACTGCAAAATTCATCTGTCAATCCAATGGACTTGTAATGTTTTGAACCATTTCATTAGGTCAAAATTATGCAATTGGACTCTTGATATCAAGCCTTAAACCAATTGACCATTTGCTAGGTCAAAAACCAGAAATTACCCTTTCCCAATCAAAACCCTAATTTTAACCATTTTGCCCTTTTGAGATTTGATCAAATTTCTTGAGGAGTTGTGGTCCAAACTTGATCAAATGATACATATGAGTTTAAAATGTTTACGTGGATAAAAAATTATGAAGTTTGACTGTAAATTTTCCATAGTTGACTTTTTCCCCAATATAACTGATTTTTAGGTCAACTGCTCAATTGACTGATCAAAAGTGTGATCCAAGGTTTGAAACTTGACATGAGTAATCTTGGGGATCCCTAACGATCCATGAAAGTCATATGAAGTATTGAAAGTTAAATAATCCTTGTGCAATCTCAAACCCTAATTTTGGTCATCAGTGCTTAAGGAGGTGTCTTGAGCTGATCAAACCCTAATGCAGCCTTGAGTCAATGGAGATCTTGTGAGAAAATTTTTGATAAGTGAGAGGGCAAATTTTGGGGTACAACATTTGCCCCTTTTCAATCTTCTTAAGCCTAAAGAGTTAGATTGGCAAGCTTTGCCATTCGTGACTCGAAGGTGGAAGATGATTGGACACTAGAGTGCCTAGAAATTTGCACTCGGAGATGTGACGGTAGAGGGAATGGGCTTAAAGATGCCATTTGGAGAGGTGATATAAATTTTCAGGAGATGGTCTTGTAGATGCCATCAAAAGTGATTGTTTGAATTGTAACTTGTAAGCTGAAAGAATGAGTATCAGAATGGCGTCCGTGTCTGGAGCCTATCTGAACTATATTTGAAAGCTGATTTTGAATGAGTATCAGGATGGCATCCGTATCTGGACCGTATCTGAACTGTATCTGAAAGCTGAATCTGAATGAGTATCAGGATGGCATCCGTTTCTGGAGCGTATCTGAGCTGTATCTGAAATATTGAGTTTGAATGAGTATCAGAATGGCATCTGTGTCTGGAGCGTATCTGAACAGTATCTGAAAGTTGAATTTGAATGAGTGTCAGAGTGGCGTCCGTGTCTGGAGCGTATCTGAACTGTATTTGAAAGTTGAGTCTGAATGAGTATCAGAATGGCATCTGTGTCTGGAGCGTATCTGAACTGTATCTGAAAATTGAGTCTGAATGAGTATCAGAGTGGCATCCGTGTCTGGACCGTATCTGAATTGTATCTAAAAACTTTGAACATTGTTAATGGTAGCTATTAACTGTAGCGGTGAAAATCGGAGATCAAGCTATTAATTAACTTGACTCACAAAAAGCAAGAGTCGCCACCACGCTTTATTATTTCCAAGGGAAAAGGGAAAAGAGCGAAATAAAACCCTAAAATATGCAATGTAAAATAATACTTAAAAGTAATAAAAATACAATGCGTTTTTTGAAAGAGATCGAGAGTTCGGGGGTTGGTTATACAATGGGAAGGTATTAGCACCCAATGCATCTGCGGTACTCCGCAGGAACCTTTTGAAATATCCGTTTTTTGGTTAAAATTGTTTGTTTGATAAAATGGTTCGTTTGGCTAAAAAATGGGTATGGACGAGATTTGGATGATACGACGACCTAGTGTTGAAGTTTTGACTTAAAAAGGGGTGTGAGTTTAAAAATTGATTTGTAGGAGATTTGTCTTAGGATTAATAAAACTAAAAAAAATATGAAGGGGGTTTCGCACAATCGTATTAGATAGTCGATGACATGAAGTCAACAAATTAATGCTTTCCCTTGGATTTGACAAATAAACAATAAAAGATTAATACTAAAGCATCAGCACTACAAAATTCACAAGAGAAACCCATTAAATCGAAATTATCACAACATCAGTCAAGAAATATCACGAGGAAATTAATTCAATAGAATAAGAAACAACCAGGTCAAGATAATCAATAAGAGACTAATTTAGAGAGACAAAGAAAATTAAACGTGAAAATGTAACTAAATGAAATAACTAAAAAAAGTTAATTAAGTTAAAATACTATTAAAATCACAAGTTTTACTAAATTTATTTTAAAAGCTAAACTAGTTAATTTGGAATTATCTAATTAACTAAAGTGATTAAGAAAACCTAACTAAGATAATAAAAGAATTCATCAACTCTTAACTTAAGCACTAAAATTGAAAGAAAGAAAAAGGGTACAAGGTTAGATTATAGGGACAAAATTGGATCGGGAGTGTAGAGAGGTAATAGTGAGAAACTAAGGCCCGATCACGAATGAATCTTGAAGTGTTTTTTAATTACACTAAACTTTAGGATGTTTAAAAAAATAAAATGGAATGGGCCTAATGGAACTATTCAGTCCCAAAACCCAATCATCAATTTCAGCATACTTATTTCAATTAAAATAAAACTAAAAATGATTGAATAAAAATAAAAAAAACACAGAGAAAATTGACACGTGAGGAAGATTAGATTTATGGGTTGTAATACCTCAGCTTTTGAAACGCTTCTCCCTTCTTCCTCTCGTGCCGCTGTTTCTTCAATGTCCTCCGAATCTTTCAGATTGTCCTTGAGAGAAAGTGAAGCTAGTTGATCCGCCGGGCTATTACCTTGTTGAGCAACATTTCTCAGCACACCCATGGCTTCAACAACTTTAGCCTTGAGAGCATCAAGTGATTCAATCGGATGTAATACTTCAGGCTGGTCCATCTCCAAAAGCATGCCAGTAACCTTGGCCGCTGAATCATGTTCTAGAGAATCTACAAGCGGATACAAAGCCTCCCCAAGCATCGTCCTCTGCTGCTCAGGAGGAGCATTTGCAAGTGCTGTAGCTAAAGCATGAATTGGCATAGGTGGTACAACATCACGAAGTGGTAGACCTCCAATTTCATAGGACATCATTCAACCAGTTATGTTTTGCATAGGGGCATCTGGAATATTGTTGTGTCCAGAAGGGTAGCTATAAACACGTTTCCTTGGAAGCATCTGTTGCTAAATCATTGGAACTGGCCGTTGGGATTGTTGAACAGGACTTCCTCCACCAAGCATGCTCCAACGGTTGTTTGAACAGAGACATCAGGGGTGTCACGAGCAGGGAGGTTTTTAGAGGTATTAAACAGATGTTTATCTTTTCCTTATGTGTATTTTTTATTGTATTGTTGCAGGTTTTCTATTCTACTTCTTCTGAGTGTGGCTTCGTGATTGTTGAAGTGTCGAGTTTGTCGCGTGAAACGTTGTTGTTGTTGCAAGCACTTAGTGGCTATGCTGCATTGATAAAGTTGTATTGTGATATGTGTAGGTTCTGATAAGGACTTGGTGAAGGTTGATACGTGTTGTTAAAGCTTGTGTGTGGTTTGGCCGATGCGAAATTCGAGTAGGCATGAGGTTTGTACGGGTGTGGAGTTGAGGATGGGATTCTGAATGGGTTTGTAAGGATGCAGATTTGTGGATTGGTGCAGAATTGGACGACGGCAGTGGTTTCGGAGATTAGGACGGATAAAGGTAAGAGATGATGTTGGTTTATGTTTGGTAGTCGCGGAATAAGGATGGATCGAGGGGGTTTTGGGCATGTAACAAGCGAGTGGCAATAGAAATAAGAATGGTGGTTGCAGTATGTTGATGAACAAATGAAGGGAGTGAGAAATATATCAGCTGGTTGCAAAATCAGTGGCTTCAGAGGTGTTGCTGTTGGAAACAGGGGGTGGTCAAGGCTGCAAGTGGCTAGCGGAATAGGGTGAGGTTACAGTGATGAGGAAATTGAAGGAGAACCGGTGACGATGTAGTGGGTTTACGGTTTCTAACAGAAGGGCGATTGGTGGGTGATTTTTGTGTGTCAGAGAGGCAGAAAATTGGTATGTTTCCTCTTCAACTCTTATCTTATTTCTTCAGATTTTCTCTATTTGTCCTCTTCTTCGTTTATCTCGAAATATTAATTCTCCTTCGTCTAAAATTTGTTCTGTTGTGTTCCTAAGTGTCATTGTTTTGCTTTGTCTGTTGCGATGTTGTTTGTTATGAGGTCGTAAGCATGGTGAGATATGTGAGAATTTGACATTTAGGGTCAGTGAGGGGTTAAGGGCTGGTCTGTGCGTGAGGTTTAAATGGTTGGAGAAGGTGTGATGATGGATTAAAGATAGGTCGTATAAAGTTGGGGCATGGTTTATGCAGAGGTTATGACATAATTTTGGGAAGAGTTTTGAGAGAAGATTAAGTAGAGCTTGGATGGTTTTGAGGTTTGGTTCTCTTAGATGATGATGGATGATTTTGTGTGTGTCCTCTGGTTTTCACAGTCTGAGTTTTATAGCCAGGAAAGAAAGAAAGAAAAATTAATTTTGGGGGGAAAATGGTTGTGAAAGTTGGTTTTGTTATAACTGTTTTATTGCTTTTTAGTGCAGGTATTTGTATGGCTATTTTTGTTGTTATTTCTTGGACTGATATGCAGGGTTTGGAGCAGCATACAACAGCAGTTTTTTGGCATTATTTGTGCAGAATTTTTGACTTGTTTTTGGACTGATATGCAGAGTTTGGAGCAGCATACAGCATGGATGATTTTGGGCATATTGCAGTAGCAGAATTTGGAGTGCAGTATCATTGGAAAGGTCCCTTTCTATTTTTGTATTTTTTATGATTTTACCATGTAACAATACATGTATCTTCCCTCTCTTTTTCTTTTGAAATTGGACTGATTTTGTTTTCATATATTTGTTGTTTTGGTGAACAGATTTGGATGAAAATTGAAGCAAGGTTTGGATGAGTTTTGGGAGCTTGATGTCATTTATAAATAGGACTTGGTAGTTTTGAATTGATGTATTTGATCATTTGATGATTGAATTTGTAACTTTTATTATGACATTAAGTGTTTGAGTGAAATGACAACTTTTGGTGAAACATGGTTTAGACTTTGTAACTTGTTATATTTGAATTCAAAATTTCCATAATTCCAAATTGTAAGCATTATAAATTGGATGGAACTTTTGTCCCTTGTATTCGAACCTCTCTTGAAAAACATTTGCAACTTTGAATGGCATTTGAACTTGACATTTGAATTTTGAACATTGTCTTGAAAGTTGAATGGTTTGAATAATGGATGATGAATAGTTATATCTTGAGACTTTGTATTTTAGGCACTTGAAACCTACACTTTGAAGAGTAGTGAATGATATTGTAATAGAATTACTTTGTAATTTTCTTTCTCTATTTTTGACAAAAACAAACAAATAATAACATAATAGTAACAATAATATAAGAAAAAGAAAAAAACGTATTAGTAACAATAAATAAAATAAGAATAATAAAATGCAACAATGATAATAACAATAATGAGAACAAAATAAAAATAATTAGTAACAATAAAAGATGAAATAATAAAATGCAATAAAGATACTAATTATAATAACAATAATGAGAAAAAGAGAAAATAGTTAGTAGTATCTAAAAGAAATAGAAATAGATTAAAATAAAAAATAAAAAATAATAATAAGACAGATTTTTGAACTAAAACAAATTCATTGGAAATATGATAGAAAATGTAAATGATGAACTATTTTAATTCTTTTTTTTTCTTTAAATAGAAATTATAATGATGAATAAAAACAAGAAAGTATGCGAAATGATCGATTTTTCAAATTAACGACAAAATATGCACCAGTCGAAAAAGTGAAGGGGCGAAAAATGGGGTGCGACAGTTGTGCCTTGATGAATCAGTCTTCGAGAATCCACAATCAACCGTACTTCTGGCTTGGGAGACTCAAAACCTTAATTGAGGCGCGACACCTGATTCCCTTGATCCAGACCTGTCTCTGCACATGAAACAAAAGAAAACATGAACATACACCTTTGTATGCGATTAGAAATTAGTGATACATATGCTAAAAATGTTCAAAACACTTGACAATCTTCGCATAGTCAAAGCTCGAAGGTGAGAGGTTAAAATCGACCGTATTTCATGACCTTGACTTATCTTAAAAATGCAAAAATAAAAATGGGATCTTAGGTCAAAAATTGGGGTACAACAGCTGCCCCTATTTAAGTTTCTTCTATCTGACGAGATTGAAGGGACTTAAATATAGAATACACAATTTTTGGCCTTAAGATACCGCAATTATGTTTATGATATGATATGAATGTGATGTTTTGAATTTTATGGGGAATGACGCCATATGAGACAAACTATGCTGGAGAAACCAAGCATATTATACAGTAATCCCACAGAGGAAGAGGTTGTAACTCCATTGGGGAAACAGAGTCATAGACTTCAAATGAGAGACTCTTGAATGATTTACATCAGTAATGAGACTGGAAAAGGTAATGATTTACATCAGTACTGTGATTGGAAAAGCATATGATTGACATCAGTACTGTGACTGGAAAAGGAACTGATGGACATCAGTACTGTGGCTGGAGATAAACATCTCTGATTTCTGAATTTTACCAAGAACGGTAACACATCTCTTCTCTGACCAAGATATCGCTTGAAAAGGCTAAAATAACAAACTTCCCCACGGGACTTTTCCGAAAGGGATGCCATTTGCTGAGTAGACATTATTGTTGGAGATACACAAGCTGCTCAAATAAAGAGGCCGCCACTTGCTTCCTTTCAAAGGTGTCAATAACATACAAGCTGCTCATGAAGAGACCGCCACTTGCTGTCTTCAAAGAAAATTAAAGCATACAAGCTGCTCATGAAGAGTCCGCCACTTGTTGTCTTCAAAGAATATCAAAGCACACAAGCTGCTCATGAAGAGTCTGCCACTTGTTGTCTTCAAAGAATATCAAAGCACACAAGCTGCTCATGAAGAGTCTGCCACTTGTTGCCAATAACCCACAAGCTGCTCATAAAGAAGCTGCCACTTGCCGTTTTCAAGGGAACAATAACACACAAGTTGCTCAAATAGATAAGCTGCCACTTGCTGTCTTCCAAATAATACTAACGTACAAGCTGCTCATGAAGAAGCTGCCACTTGCCGTTTTCCGTACAAGCTGCTCATGAAGAGACCGCCACTTGCCGTTTTCAAAAAGTGTTGATAACATAAAAGTTGTCCATGAAGAGACTGCCGCTTGCTGTTTGTCAAGAGTATCCATAACACAAGTTGCCTCATGAAGAGACTGCCGCTTGCTGTTTCTCAAGAGTATCCATAACACACAAGTTGCCTCATGAAGAGACTGCCGCTTGCTGTTTGCCAAAAGATACCCATAAAATATCGTGAAGATATTGCTGGAGGTGAGAACCAATAATTTCATCGGGGATGGACAAACTGCTCATGAAGAGACCGCCATTTGTCGTAGGGAAATCAGAAATAATCAAACTGCTCAAATAAAGAGTCAGTCGCTTGTTGTCACGTCGATATTCCAGAAGAAGGTTGTGATAACACTGCTAGGGAATAAAGTTCATCTTCAATGGGGAACCATGAATAAATCCTTCTTGATGAGACCAAGTATTTACGTTGCAAAATAAATGCACTCTCCATCTAGGTTTCACAGCCTAGAGATATCAGCAGGGTATTGTTCACAAGAGACAAAGCTCAATCCAGGAATAAACTGGAGAGGAAAACAGTCAAACAAGACCCCACCCAATGAGGAAACAACTCAAATGGGTATTTATCCTATCCAGAGATGGAAAAGGAAAGCTAAAGCAAAATTCTTCCACGAGAGTTAACTCAGTGGGGAACTAGAAAGAAGACGCACTTTCTGCTTAAGTTGGCACTCTACTTGGAAAGATCAAATACATTATTTGAATAGACACAACCAAGGTATACGAACTCAATGGCATCAACAAATACAACTGTGCGTGCATAATGCAAGTGTGAATGAATAAATGAATACCATGTATGTGCTGACAAAACAAATAGACAAGA